CTTTATTTGTCAGAACACAAACAAAATATCACACAACAGAAAAGACCAGTTATTCTATACTAATTTATTGATTAATTTAGTGATTTACTTAAAGTACTGCTTGTACTGCCTGTTTGCCAAGAATGACTTCACTTGCTACTTGGAACAGAATGACTTGGAGAAATAGCTGAAGCAATGGATTGTTGCCCTTAACAGCCTGCTGTCAGTATGCTTCTGTAAAATCTTGCTTGTGTCTGGCCAGGTGGTGGTGGTACATGACTTTAATTCCAGTACTTGGGAGGCAGAGGCGGGTGGATCTCTGTGAGTTTGAACGCAGCCGGGTTTACAGAGCAAGTTCTAGGACAGGCTCCAAAGCCACATAAAGAAACCCTATCTCAAAAAAAAAAAATCCAAACAAAACAAATTTTGCTTGTCTTATGTTGTAGGTTTAGAGTACAAAATGAGAATGCAAACTGGACCTGATACAATGCTTTCCAGGAGCTAGCATGGCTTCAGTCTACTGGTGAATACATCTCTCTTCTACTTTCATTGATGTCAGAGTGCTTATTCCAAAAAGATTGCCACAACACATGATTCCATTTACATAAAATTCTGGACAAGGTGACCCACTTCATAGTGACAGAAATCAGGCAATGGTGCCTCGAGAGGGGAGGAAAGAATCACCAGGACAGAAATTGGCTCTGGGTGACAAGCTGTTGGCTCTCTGGAGATTGATATCCTAGCTAAATACCTGTGTCAAAATCTAACAGTGTATACTTCAAACATTTGCAGTTTATCCTGTGTTAAGCTCAGTAAGACTATTTTATTTAATTTATTATGTAATGTAATTTTTAAAAAATTTAATTAAAAAATTTTTTTGAGACAGGATCTTATTGTATAGCCTTGGCTGGCCTGAAACTAGCTATATAGACCAAGCTGACCTCAAACTCATGGAGATCCACCTGTCTCTGCCTCCTGAGTGCTGGGATTAAACACATTCAAATAAGTCTATTGAAAAAAGAAGCCGGGTGGTGGTGGCGCACGCCTTTAATCCCAGCACTCGGGAGGCAGAGCCAGGCGGATCTCTGTGAGTTCGAGGCCAGCCTGGGCTACCAAGTGAGTTCCAGGAAAAGGCGCAAAGCTACACAGAGAAACCCTGTCTCGAAAAAACCAAAAAAAAAAAAAAAAAAAGAAAAAAGAAAGGCAGATGTCCTTGCCTGTACAGAGTCTTGAAGCCCATCTGGTATCTTTAATCTCAAAATTCTGTAGACAGACACAAGTGGATCTCTGAGTTCAAGGCCAACCTGGTCTAATGTCGAGGACAGGAAGGACTACATAGAGACCCTGTCTGAAAACAAACAAACAAAATAATGAAACATAAAATTCAAGCGAAACCAAAACAACAACAAAAGCAGAGACTGGAGAGATGACTCAGTGCTCTTCCAGAGGACCTGAGCAGAACCCATGCAGACAGGCCTGTAACTCCAGCTCCAAAGGAGCCAGTGACCTCTTTTGGCCTTTATGGGAACATGCACATAAAAATAAACAAAAAAAAAAAAATCAAAATCACATTTATTTATTTATTTATTTATTTATTTATCTCTTTATGTGTGTGGTGTGTGTGTGTGTGTGTGTGTGTGTGTGTGTGTGTGTGTGTGTGTGTGTGTGTGTAGGCAAGAGGACAACAACTTGCAGGAAGGAGTTGATTTTTTCCTTTGACTATGTGGGTCCCAGGAATCAAACTCAGGTTGTAAAGCTTAGTAACATGTATTTCTTGAGCCATCTTGCTGACCTAGCCCTTACTTTTGAGACTTGTCTTCTAGTCAATGGCTTTAAAGGAGCTACATAGCTTCACAAAAAAGCCTTTTAGAAAACTCCCGAGAAACCCCTGTCCTACTCTATTCTGTCTTGGGATAGTGGGAAACACAGTGGGGACCCTCAAACTATGAGGCTAACTGGAACCTTCAGCCTGGCTCACAGTAGAATTTTGGTGCCCTCTCGTGGCTCTCATGGGCATTTCAGGCAAAGCTTTGTCTTTTTCTGCTTAGTCTTCTGCAGGGGGCCTTTTTCTTCCTGACCCAAGACCCTAAAGGCCATTCTTCCTTTCACCAACTCACCTGTTGTGCCTACTGAGCAGGCTTCTGTTACTATCTATAACTGCAGCCTCTACATGATAACTATGTTATGAACATGTCATCTTCCTGCCTAGCATGAGATGAGTTACACACCCTTTCTCTTTGACAAACATCTGCTCCCAACTTCTCACCAAGAAGGTTTGTAGTTAGGTATGAGTGGAAGAATGGGCTTTTCTCTGAAGGCTGAGCCAAGTCTAGGGAAGCTTGTTTCTACAAAGCCTGTTCTCCTGGCCCCACAGTTTTCTCTCCAAGTCCTACTACCCCCACTTCCTTTTGCTTATCCTGTACTCTTACACGGGAAAGCAAGACATCTGTCTAAAAACCTGTGTCAGATCATAGTCTGTGCCAGACTTCCAGAATTGTCTTATCTCATGAAATCCATGTAATGCTTGGCTGCCATTTCTCTGGATACAGACCCACATGTACATCTCCCAAGCTATTCTGAGGTAACACTGTTATCTTTGCAGGATATGATGCTGGGTATTCTAGTCTCATACGGGAACAATACAGTGTGCTGTGACCCACCAATACCAAGCAGCTAGGGAAAGTAAAGAATATTTTCATGGATTTTGAAGCAGGCAAAGAAATCTTTTTTTTTTTTATAGATAGGATCTTATGTAGCCCAAGTTGGCCTAGAAGTTGTTACATTATTGAGGATGCCCTTGAAATCCTAATCTTTCTGTTTCTATCTCCCAAGTGGGATTGCTGTTATGCACAACCACGTCTAGGGCAATACTTTATTTTAATAATAAAAATTATTATTATTTTATTTTGGTTTTTCAAGAAAGGGGTTCTCTGTGTAACAGCTCTGGCTGTCCTAGAACTCACCTTGTAGACCAGGCTGGCCTCTTATTCACAGAGATCTGCCTGCCTCTGCCTCTGGAGTGCTAGGATTAAAGGTGTGTGCCACCATGTCTGGTTAGAATAATAATTTTTTAAGAGGATGGGAGGTATCATGGAATAATAGCACATGCTTGTGATTCTAGAGCTTTGGAAGCTGACATAAAAGAATTGCAAGTTTAAGTCTTTAATCCCAGCACTCAGGAGGGAGAGGCAGGTGGATCTTTGTGAGTTCAAGGCCAGCCTAGTCTACAGAGCTAGTTCCAGGACAGCCAAGGCTACACACACACACACACACACACACACACACACACACACACACACACACACACACACACACAACCCTGTCTCAAAAAAACAAACAAAAAATGCAAATTGCAAATTTGATGCTAGCCTTGCTGCAAAACAAGTTTGAGGTCAGTTTGGGCAGTGTTAAACAAACAAAAACAGAGCTTAAGGACCCTGTTCTGTTATGTGTTGGCTATGTAGAAGTTACCCTCTCTGTGTCTCATGCCCTTCAGAAAGAAGGGTCTTCTTGGGATGGATGAGCTTACAGCAAGGTGCTCAGCAGCCTAGCAAGGAGCCCAGCACAGATGTTGGTTGCTCTGCCCATGTCTTCTTGAGGTAAAGCGACCACCCTGTCTTAGGACTACCCACCAAATACACTTTTCCCTCCACTGACTATACTTTGTTCCCTTGACCCTGATCAATCCTTTTTTGAGGCCCAGGGTCCATGCCAGTCTGGGTAGCCCTTCACAAGAGCAATAAATGCACCCACTTTCCACTAGTTCCACTGGCAGGTTTAGCAATGCCCAGGAGGCTCCCATGAGCCTTGGATGTCAGATCTAGGTTGGCAATATTGTCTGCAAAGTTGGGCTAGAGACATTTAGGTAGTAGGTGGGATGGGACTGGAGTTTCACAATGAGCTGGAAAAACAGGTCTTCTTCTTGGGAAGGGGGACCTGCATGGTGCTAATCATAGGGCAGTCTTCTCTAGTTGGAATCTGATGTGACCTTAGCTGATGTCAGGCCCCAGTGCTGGCCCTACACCAGGAAAATGTCCTTCATATTGTTGGAGGCCCCTCAAATGCCATCTATTTGTGGCTTGGCTCTGTGACTGGCACGAGTCATAAGTGATCCCAGGGACAGGATATTTTTGGCAGTAGGGGCGGAGTTTGCATTAAGAAGCCTAGACCATGCTGCCTGGGGACAGGCCTCTAGATGCATACCTCCACTGCCCCAGCTGGCTGCTGAGAATCAGGTAGGATACACTTAGCCCCTTGCTTCTGTCTAGGGGTCCTAATGGCAGGAAAACTTTACCATGGTCTTTCCAGGGTCTAGAGAGGAGGAAAGGGCTGGAAGTTAGGAAGCACCCAGTGGCTTTTCTCATTCAGGATTGTTTCATAGTGACTTCCTAGTCTCCTCATTCTAGATATAGCTGGTCAAGGCCCCAAGAGTAGCCCCTTTAGGAGACAGAGGCTGGAGGCCATGGCTAGCTCTGGTTATCTTGGTTCACTGAGATAGGGCAAAATGGGGCCTTGGATAGTCAGGCAGCACTAGATGGGGGTACAGACACTGAGGACAGCCAGAGCAGATTGCTGGGGCTCAGGGAAGCTCATCTAAGTTCTGTGACCTCTGGCCTAGGCTCCTCTTACAAACTTTTGAGCAGGCTCTGACCAGTACCAGCATGACCTTGGAACACTCAGAAAACCTGTTCCAGCCAAGACTGATGGAAGGTCATCATGAGGAGGCTAGTCACCCATGGTTACTATAGATACTCTTCTATGGTTAGCTGGTGGTGGCTGGGGAGGCTAGGGATGACCATCAGAGGGAATTGATCTCTGATGGGTGGTCTTTGATTCAGACCATTGTGTACAGAGGTTGAGAAGGGAAGTCAATCCCATTAAAAGATCTCAGAGATGTGAGGGAACACCATTCAAACATGACGAACACTGGTCTTTAGTTTACTTCACTAATATATATTAAATATATAGTATATTTAAAAATAATATAATAATATATATAATAAAATCGTATTTCGTTTTAGGACTGTGTTATGGTAAAGTTATTTGGAGTTGAATTGAAAATAGGGGAAACTGAAGTAGATTTCTTACTAAGAAGAATGAATTAGAAGAATCTGGAAGAAGCAGAGTCTGTCCTGTGGTTCCTCTAGATGGAAATGGACTGCCAGAGAGGGGACAGGTGCTACGAGGTCAGGCAGGGTGGTAGCAGTGTGGACTACTTAGTGTATGGAGCCTGGATTTGTGAAGACTCTGCCTGGCCCAAAGTCTTGCTGTCACTCCAGCACCTCTGCTGATGTGCAATGGACAACTTCCAGTATAGTGTCCAGCTCAGTGATCGAGAGTGGGCCGAGTTCTCAGTCACTGCTGATGAGTGTGGCCTCTTGCAGGCTGGCCTGGCCTCTGGTGACGAGCTCTTGTCCAGTGACATTGACCAAGGGGACAGCAGTGGAAGCAGCCCCCCTGGGCCCCCACCCCTCTTCACTGGGCAGCTGGCTCCCCAGGGGAGGAGACAACAGGGCTCTGAGTTGGAGGACGTGGCTGCTCAGCAGTTGGTCAGCAGGTCTCAGTGTGAGCCTGTCCTGGCTCTGGAGGCCAGTCATCAGGTAGCCAGCACGTCCACACAGTCAGAAGCTCTACTGTTCCTCAGCCCAGACAGCGTCTGTCCTGGCCAGGCCTTGTCCTTCCAAGGGTCAACAACTCTCAGGGACAAGATGCAGAGGCTTTTGCAGGGCCCTGCTCCCAGCTCTCCTGGTGAGCCCTCTCATAGTCCTGAGTCCCCTGGCCACAATGCCATCCCTCAGAGTCCTCCTGACAACCTTGAAGCTCCACTGCGGAACCCTGGTCGTAAGAAGAGGCGTGCTATGGCCGCCAAGGGGGCCAAGTGCTCTGGATCTCTGGGCTCTGCTGCTGTCCAGATGAGCTCCCCACAGCTTATGGAGACCAGGCCCAAGGAGGTTCTTATGTCTGGGACATTAATGGCAAAAGCCCAGCAGAGTAAGCCACAGTCAGACTCTGCAGGTGCTTCTGAACATGACTCTAGTATCCCTGAACAGATGGCCAAACAAGAGTCAGACTTGGATCTGTCTACACCTGTTCTAACAACTGAACAAGATACAGACCAGATCAGAAAGACACCCAGAGCTGTGCTACACATGATATCCAAACCTGTCCAGGAAGCTCATCCAGATGTCTCCACAGCCACACCAGATGTGTCTCTCTCTACACATGCCTCTAAGTCTCAACCTTACACGGCTTTGTCTAAACCTGCCTCCAAGCCTCAGTCTGAAAAAGCTTTATCTACACATGTCTCCACATCTGACATGACTTTTTCCACACTTGCCTTCAAATGTCAACCCAATACAAATCAGTCTACACTTGCCTCTGATCCTGACATGGCTTTGTCTATACCTGCCTCCTTGTCTCAACTGGACAAAGTTGAGTTTGCACCTGCTTGCATACCTGGACTGCATGAGGACCTATCTGCAGTAGGCTCTGAGATCAAGTCAGAAGTTTATCCCTCTATGCCTGCCCCAGTGGTTATGCTTTGTACAGATCTGCCTCATTCTGTTTCAAAGACTGAGTCTGAAGAGAGTATGTCTATACCTGCTATGCCTCCCTTGTCCCCTATTTCCCAGGCTGAAGCTGCCATGGTGAATACAGATGTGACTGTGCCTCCTGGGGGATACTTTGAGAAGCCATTAGGGCAGCTCTCAGCAGGGTCTTCAGGATACTCCTTAGGGGAGCCTTGTCCAGGTCCTGTTCAAGCCCCCAAGAAGAAGAAAGTACGATTCTCCATGGCTGTACCCAGTCATGAAGAATCAGGATCAGGTGAACCTACAGGTCCACCTTTCCTAACCCCAGACCAGCCCCCAGCTCCCAGGACAGTAGCAGGGAGCCGTGGGGGGTCTGCAGCCTGGGATGCTGTGGCTGTTGGGCCCCGACTCCCCCAGCCTCGGATCCTCAAGCACCTGCCTCCTCCTATATCCTCTGTCTCAGCAGAGCCTGAGCCTGGAAGCTGCTATGCAGTGACTCTCCCTGAGGCCTATGAGTTCTTCTTCTGTGACACCATTGAGGAGGAAGATGAAGATGTAGAGGATGAGGCAGCAGCCAGCCACGCCCTGGATGAAGTCCAGTGGCCTGACACATGCGAGTTCTTTTTTAGGGACAGCAGAGTCCAAAGGTCAAGTTGTCAGAGGGGACACTCCACAGTCCTACCCCCAAAAGCAGAGGCTGTGGCACCTGTTCCCCCTGGAGATTTAGTGCCTATCTCCATCCCTGAGGTCTATGAACACTTCTTTACTGAGGAAGGATTTGGGAACAGACAGCCACAAGCCACCCATATCCAACTGCAAACCTCGGAGCTCTTCAGGGAAGTAGGGCCTGAGGCATACTCCAAGCCTGTTCCAGCTACAGCAGAACATCTTATCTTGACAATCAGAGAGGCAGGTAGGTGTTGATCAAGACCCAGCCCCATCCAGGTCCTGGGAACATACTGTCCAGGGAGTTAGGCCAAGAGGATATGGGAGAGGGACAGGAAGGATTCTGATCATCTGCCTGTATGGATGTGTTTGTATGTGTGCTCTTGCATGCTCTGGGATCTACACGAAGGGAAGGGTAAGTTCCTAAGCTACCCCAGGACACAGTCAAGATGGGGCAGCTCAGGCCAGACACCAGGGTTTTGGCTTTGACACTGACCATTGTCCTAAGTCCAGTCCTAGATGCCATCAGGAACTTTCCTCCAGCTCCTAGGGGGATAGGTACTAGGCACACATTCCCACTCAATCCATGCTGATTGAGGCACTGTGGAAAAATATCTCCTCTCACCTCTGGAAACTATTTCACAGACCAGAGAACAGAAGACCCTAAAGGCAAATCACCCAAATTGTTCTGACTCAACTATGATACATGTTATCCAGTGTCTTAAGGAAGATAAGTCATGTGGAAGATCTGATTCAACACATTTCTCTAGGACAGATGGGATTTTATGTCAGGCATATCTCAGAGAAGAGCATCTAATGTACTTTTCTTTCCTAGAGGAGCTACGGAGTCCCCTTACTTCATTTACATTCAGCCAGAATGACATGTGCCTGGTGTTTGTTGCCTTTGCCACTTGGGCTGTGAGAACCTCTGATCTACATGCCCCAGATGCTTGGAAAACAGGTTTGGAGGTCCTGGGGACAGAGGGTGTTATGCTTAGAAGCCCTAGTGGCTATAGTTATTTACCACACCTGCTGGGCCAGCAGGGATGAAGGGTACATGGGAGGTTCAGCCTCTCTTTGACCTTGCTTGTGTCATTGCTAACCTACTTCCAACACACCATCCTTTGAAGGCTGGGTTATATAGGCAGAAGGTAGTGAGAAGCCAGAGCTGGCACTTAGGATATCTTCTGTCTCTCTTACAGTCTTGCTGGCCAACCTTGGCACCATCTCTGCTATCCGCTACTTCCGCCGTCAGGTTGGAAGAGGGCGTAATGGCAGACCAAGACCAAGTTCCAACTCAAGCCCAAGCTGCTAGGAGCCAGGCTGGCCTGGTGAGGCATGGGGCACGGGGATGAACCCAGGTGACAAGGACAAGATCTTGCTCTTCTCTCCACCCTTTGATCCCTGACTTCTGAGGCATCTAGGAAGGAGCCAGTATCTGTGGGTGCTGACTTACTTGGACTCAACCTAAGGGTCCAGCCAGTGGCTAAGACCAAGGCCATTTTCCATACCTGAGAGGGTAGAGATTCAGGATTGTGGGTGAGTGGGCCCTGAGCCAGGAGCTAGGTAATAGGGCATCAGATTTGCAAGTAAAAACCACAGGGCACATAGCTATATTTGAATTTACATGAAGTACTTGAGATGTACTTGTATGAAGAAATTATTTGTTGTTATCTGAAATCCAACTTAATTGGGCACCCTGCCTTTTGTCTGGTCATAAATAAAGGATGAGCAGCAGAAGAGGACTCTACAGTAAGTGTAAAAGCAAAAAGGCCCCTCTGGGTCTGGGCCAAGGGGCTACTAAGTGCCTTCAAAGCTAGAGGGAGGCAGTTCAAGAAACTGCTCTACTGAAAGGCAGGCTTGGCTGTCAAGGGCCTCCAAGGCCCTGATCCCTAAGGCACCACAGCCACAGCTTGCCTAGGCCTGGGCTGAGTCAATGAATAGGTTCTAGGACAGTGGTTCTCAACCTTCCTAATGCTGCAACCTTTTAATACAGTTCCTCATGTTGTGGTGACCCCCAACATAAAATTATTTTTGTTGCAACTTCATAACTGTAATTTTGCTACTGTTATGGATTGTAATGTAACTATTTTTGGAGCTAGAGGCTTGCCAAGGGTGTTTCAACCCACAGGTTAAGAACCACTGTTCTAGGAGATATCTCTGGGAATGGCTTCTGAGGCCCCTGGAATATGGGATCTGTGGGACAGGGCTGGATCTTCTCCAAGAGCCCTGGATAGGATATACATAGAATTTGATAGCATCCTATGGAAGGATTGTCTCCTGATACTATATGGAGCTTGAGTGAAGCCAAGGCTAAGAGAAGTTGTGAGTGGGAAGGTAGCTGAAGGGACTGAGGTGGCATAGTGAAAATAGCAAACGAAGGTCTTCAGGATGGTGGGGTACTCTGGCTGCTCAGAGGGGAACACAGGGACACAGCACCAATAAAATCTCTTTCTTGTTTATGGTGTTAGTCTTTTTGACCAGCCTTACCCTATGCACCCAACAGTACTGGATCTTCCCATACTCCTCTGTTTCTTGTGATAGTTCTCAACCTAATGACCTCTGACCTCATGTCCTCTGTCTTCACATGTTGAGTTTGATGACCTGACTTTTTTTTCTGTGCTCTGTATTTCACATTCATGCTGTTCCCCACTTCTAAGTAAATACCTGCTCTAGCACTTTCATTCTTTCTTCCCTAGAGGTATAAGCCCTGGGGATATCCAGGATCTCACTGATATACCTCACTGGTTTGTTCCTAGGAAGAGTTACCTCCTCTTAGTTGCTCTAGTTGCTAAAGTTGAGGAGCTAGAGCCTGGTGAGAGGTGCTTCTATCCTCAGAGTTCTAGAGACACCCTTAACTGGTTGGGGTTAGTTAGCCCTGGTGGATTTAATGTGGGTCACAGGACTGGTATGGCGGCATACTCTTATCCAGATTGATACTGGTTGGCTGTGTTTCTGAGAAGCAGCCCACCTGGGGCCCATTAGATCCACTGGATGAGTCCCATATCCAATGGAGTCTTCCTGAGCTGTGTCCACTTCTGGTGGGAGGGAGAGGAAGTCTTGTTCCAGGTAGGAGCCTCCTCATCTAGTAGGGATGTCATAGACAAGTCAAACATCAGTCTTTAGGAAATAGCACCCCTTCCCTGAGGGAGAGGAGACCCTCACTCACCTGGGGGAGGTGACAGGGAACTGAGTGTACTTTCTCTGGTAGAGGTGACCTGGGAGCCCCAAAATACAAGTCTTAAAGCCAGCACAGATCAGTCTCCTTGATCTGCCAGTCTCTTGCCACTTTCTTCTCTTTACCTTCCAGCTTCCTGTCCTACTGAACTGTCTCTATCCCTGGTTTCTCCCTGTCCCATTTTCTGCTTTTCTCCTTGGCGTCCTAGAACCTTCTACCCAACATCCCCTGATCCTGAAGCCTCCACACCAGAGTGGAGGATGTGACTTACAAGCTGAGGGAAGTCTGAAGGCCGTAGCCCTCTGTTCTTGATGGAACCCCGGTGTCTCTGGGAAGCTCTGGACTGCAGGGCACCTTTCTTGGACAGCAAGTGGGAGCCCAGAGGCCTAGGGGAGCTGGAGATTCCAGAGCTGGAGTCAGAGACAGGCACAGACACGGAGACTGAAGGGAACGGGCTTGATAGCTCAGGTCCAGGTGATGTCTGCATCGCACAGAGGAACTGCTGGGAAAATGTGGGTTACCTGAAGCCCTGGTCTGGGACCACTCTGAAGCCTAGGAACCCCTTGCCCAGAAGAACCCTCCCTTCATAGTTTTCAGGCTTCTGACATCTCCTGATCTCACTGTAGCATATCCACCTAGTAGTACACTGACCTCATCTAGGCCTTGGAGGTCTGTAATCTTGCGGTGGGATGTAGCTGGTGGTGTGTAGGGATCAGCATAGAGCGGAGAGTGTGGAATATCCAAAGAGTGGTCCTGAGCCTCTGGGCCACTATCTAGGTCCAGTGCACTCATCTACAAGAAGAAGGAGATACATGGATTCCCTTAGTTAGATGCAACAAGAACCTTCTGTGCTCAGTACATGAGGTCTCTGTGTGTTCCATCTAGAGTAGCAAGAAAGTAGAAGCAGAAGGGATAGTGGCCTGGGGTCAGGGTATGTGGTGGGCTCACCTTGGTCAGGTCCAGGTGCAGGGGCAGTGGGACAGCTGAGCCAGATACTTCCCTTCGAGCTTTGCCCCTGGGAGACTGGCTACTGCCACTGTGCCTCAGCTCTATCTTCTTTTGGCCAGTGCTGGCACAGTTAGAGTTGGTCTGGTTCTGTGGACACCAAGAACCACCCAGAAAGATCTCCAGGGCTTCTTTCCCACACACTCTTCTATGAGGCTATACGAAGGTCCCTTCAGTTCAAGTTCCCTCCCTGGCGAACTATGGTCCAGGGTCACTGTGGGACAGTGGGACCTAGTCTCCCCAGAAGACAGAAGTCCTGTGTTTTCTTATCCCCATCCCATGTCATTCCTTTAGGTACTTACAGGTACAGGCTGGGCAGGGAAGCCTATAGTGGTTGGCACTGAGGATTCAGGGAGGGATTGGCTGGTGGGGAGCACTGGACACTCTAATTTGCAGCTGGTTTGTCCATTGGAAGAGAGTGAGCCTCGGCCTCTACCCACAACCTAAGCAGCAGAGGTAAGGTGAGTGGCTAGATCTGTCTCCTTATCTATCCCTGCTTGGACCTACCATTTTGCTCCCTAGTTTGCACCACCTGAGTTATAGGGACCTCACTGACCCCTCACCTGTATGGATCCATGCAGTCCTGGGAAATTCTCTGGGCCAGGCAGCAGGTGGGCCCCATCCCTATGAGAGACAGTCCGGAGGCACAGCAGCCATTGACTATAATCCTCATAACTGGCACATACCACACGGATGGTGTTGATGAGGCAGCCTAGCACACAGACATGTGAACTAAGGTCTGGCAAGACAGGTACATTCCTTACCCCACAGAGACCCCAGCAAAGAGTTTGAGCATCTACCATACTAACTCTTAGTAGAAGCCCAATCAGACAGTGAGTAGATTCTGGATAGGACCCTACCTTCAATGAGAAAAGAGCGGATCTCCTTTTCCTTCTCTTCTAGGTTGATGTGAATGGCACTTAGTGGAAGCTCCCCCTGTAGAGTGAGGACTAGGTATTTATCTGTGTCATCTCAGCCTCTTCCTAGCCCTACCTTCCATCCTGCCCTCCAGACCTGGGCTGGAAACTCAAGCTACTCTAGCACTGAGGATGACACTCTGGGAAAGGCTAGGCAGCTTTGTTCTGAGATATCTCCACTTTACTTCCTGTTGGTTTTTCTCCAGCTGATGCCAGTTGTAGACAGATGATGCTTATAGGGATTAGTCCTTGTCAGGGAAGCTCCCTTGGTATGTTTTTAAGTGACTGTGATACACACCAGTATCATGCTCTGGTTCCTCCCCCCCCCCCCCCCGCCCCCCAGACATGATGCATGGAAGGTGCTCAGAGACAAGGGGAAGCATGCACCAGGGATTCCAAGAAGTAGCTTATTCCATTCCACCCACTCCAGGGTTAGTGATGTCCCTCCAAGATGAGAGGAGTTGTAGAGGGTGGAGACTCCTCTTCTATGCCAGAGCAGAGACCAGATTGACCGGGGCAGTGGGGCCAGATGGGTGGAGCCCTGTGCTCTGTCCCAACAAGCCCTGAAATACAGGTTTCTGAGTCCACTCCCACCCCACAAAGGACATCTTCCAGGACAGGTATATGTGGAGAAGGCCAACCTTAAAGCTAAGCCCATCTGGCTCCTCAGAGAAGATGGCCAGGGATGCTGGGTATAGTACCAGAATCCGGTCCCACTGCTCCTGTAAGGGGTCAAAGGATAGAGTGGGGTTGGCACCCAGAGTCCAGCCTTACCTGCTCCTGTATCCTTCCCTATCTCATTGCACCTCATGTCTTTTCCCACCCACCTGAGAGGGCAGATGCTGCAGCTTGACCCTTGAGGCACAGATTGCACTGCCCATGGATTCACACCTGGATGCTCTCCATAGCCGTGTCCAGGGGAGTTCATTCCCCAGGGGAGCCTGGGGAGGAGGAAGGAGTAGGTCAAAGTCAGGCCAGAGAGTCTAGATGGGGGAAAGGCTTGCAGGTTCCTGCTACTGACCTGTGGGGGCACTGAGTGGCACCGTTGCAGACCCCCCAAGAGAGCCATTTGCTTCTCCAGGTGGTAAATCCAGTGACTGAGCTCAGCTTCACTGTGGCAGAGAACAAGGAGCGGGGCAGGCAGTGGGCCTGGGGGCAGAAGAGTCAAGTGGGCTAGGGGAAAAGCTTAGAGCTCCCAGAAGCCCACAGGAAAGTCTCCTTCTCCAGGGGCTTAAAGTAGACCTCCAGGTCCAGGGGTTCTGGTCCAGTGGTGGCCAGCCAGCACTCTCCACATACCTGTAATCTGAAAGGCATGCTCTCTGAACCCATCAATCGTGCAGATGCTCAATTCTGTCAGTGGTAGCAGCCCCTGCCAGAGGAAAGTATAGGAGGGGCTGCAGGGACTCCTAAGGAACAGAGTCCCCCCTCCCTCTGTCTATACCACTCACTTGGAATGTAAGTCCTTCAGAACCATGGGCTTGGAAGTACAGGTGGGAAGGGAACAGCTCTAGATAGCAGTCACTGATGTCCTAGGAGAGAGCAGGGCCACTAGTGTCAGAGGCTGGGGGGACAGCCCCGGAGTAGCATGGATGTTGGTCCCCAAGTATTCCCTAACCTGTTGTGGCTCCTACCTGGCTGTTCTGGAACCGCAGCTGGACCTTGGAATAGTGCACAACCTTTCCTAGGTTCCTCACAGGTGTCCTCCGCCACCCCTTTTTGAATACACTCAGAAATGGCTGTTCCAGATTTTCTGGCTGATTTTCCGGGCCTGGGATGTCCTGGAGGAGCAGGGCTCAGGAGAGGGACCAGATGGGGCCAGATCCCCAGGCAATATACACACAGTTGCTGCATACAGTTCTGATCTGTCCATGCACGGTCACAGAATACATTCATCAAGAATATACACATACAGGCATACCTCACACACACCTAAGCCTCTTCACATGAAAAGTGGAATATGTATATACTATACATATACATATGACTCCTCACAGTCAGAGCTATCTGCTCTGTGGTGCAGACTGAGGTTGGTACATAGTGGGTTCAATCCTTATCTTCATTACCTCCTATGCTATGCAACTTGGCTTTGGTCATTCAACATCCCCAGATTTGTCAAAGAGTTCTGAGGTATATTATGAGGATGAGATAATGCTCAAAGCCTTCTCAAGTGTCCAGTGGCAGCTGGCATTGGTTTCTTACCTGGTTCTATGAAAAAATAAACAAACAAACCAGAGTTCTAGCTTGTAATATTTGCTAATTTCTTTGGTGTAAATATTCCCAACACTGCCCAAATTGAGTTACCAACATGATGTCTGTGAACTTGGAACTGGAAAGAGAAACTAGCCAGCTTTTGTGAGTCTAT